CCTAGGCAATCCTCACTTGGTGGGATTTCCTCAAAACATAATTTATATTTGAGAGGTTGTTGCTTTCTCTTTCTTTTAGTTGAGGTGTCTCTGATTCATTATATGTATGAGTATGACATGTCACAGCAATTTTTTGATATTTAATTAAAGAAACATCAAAGTATACAATACAGGCAACCCTTATAGAGGAGCTAGGTTTGTCCTCTCACAAAGACTTAAAGTCATACTATAATTGAGCCCAATACAGATATTCCCTATTAACCACCTACTTTACTAAAGTATCAGCCATCCCATTTGCTGATTTTCCAATCCACTGTATCCTTGATGTCATATTGTTAGTTATCCATTTAGGCTTCTTGAGTACATCTCTATAAGCTCAAGCTACAGCCTACGGTTTCTGGGTTCTTCAATTGTCCCACTACCAGCATAGAGTGCCCTTCAATAAACACGTTCTCTATGTTCAACTCTTTTGCAATCTGCAATCCTCGAAAAAATGACCAAGAATTCAGCCCTAATAGAAACCCCAACACCTGTCCCAAGAAAAAAGCATCAACATCAATGACGTGTCACAATGTAAATAAGAGCAGTTGCTTTTCAAAGGAGGGGATCCAAACTTTCTTATGTTTACATGGATTAGGCTGTATGGAGTGACTTATGTAAGGGCATTGTGTATCTTTCATTTTTATTCTAATGGAGAGTTAAATTGTAAATTTCCACATTCACAAATTGGTATTAGAGCACTCTGTAGATAAGGGACCAACCACTACCATCATCATGTCTGGCTGCTAATGTCATTGCCACCAACTGCTGAAGCCAGCAAACCCTATGGTCAGCCCACCCTCCTGTTTATGGAAACCCTTGATTTTTATCAGGCATGTTTTGGTGGAGGTTTTATATCTATTAATGAAGGTTTTGACTTTTTTTCTTTGAATTTTCTCTTGAAAAATTGAAGAAAATCATATCTGGATATCAGATCAATCCACCTATCTGTGGGAGTTTTTATTAGTGTATATGGTATTGTTAGAGCCGTATGATATTTGTGAATGCCCCAGATTTGATTTGAAGATGTTTTCTCTGCTCTATAACCACCACCTAGTAGGTTTTTTACCTTTGTGTGTTTAAGCTCATATCTCTTAGATGTATTTGATTCAAGGAGTATTTGTGCCCCTTAGTGTTTTCTTGGTAACTGGTACTCTGGTGGGTGTTACTGATGGAAACAAATTTTATGGGAACAACTGGATATTTTATGGGAATCAATGATAACCCAAATATCCAGATTATGACAGTGAAACTTGATGGGAACATTGCTAGAATGGTCCTAATTCATGAAGAGGTATGTTGTAGGTTGTAGAATGATGTGGTACCTAACAGTGACCGAAAACAACTCTCATCCAATGACCCTAATCATTCCAGATGGGAACAAGAGAACCTTATAATCCTTGTGGCTGGKTTTTTTCTATGCAGCGCATATAGCCAGGAAACTACATGTTCTTATCGATGTCTAACGACATTTGGGAGAGGGTTTTAGTCATATATTCTAAAGTTTACAATACTGCCAAGGGCTATCAATTGCACAGAGAAGCCAGTAATCCCAATCTTTAATCTACCAGGTGCACAGAGAAGCCAGCTCACATAGCAAGTAACTAGATGTTCTTATTGGCAGCCAAGGACATCTTATATTCTTTTTCTTTTTTCTAAATCCTGTGTGATCATCATTTCTGCTTTTCAATTATAACAGCAGAGGGGCATTGAACTATTATGGTAGAAGGTTGCCCCTTAAACCTTTTCCTTTGCATTTAATATACAGGTGCATTCTATTATCTATATATTTGTAACTTTTAAAATAACAAACATTCCACTGAGTAACTTTTACTTGAGTTTTAGGAGATCACTGGCAATTGGTAAGTCTTTTTTTTTCAAAATAAAACTGCTTCATTAGCAAAAAACAATATTTTATTTTGAAAATAAAATCATGCATATTGGCAAAACACACCTTGGGTGATAAAAAGGGTTTAATCCTTGTTTTTTTCGTTTACTTGTATTTTTCTTTTATAATTTCACACACACACTATCTCTGTCCCTCCTGTATTAAGAGAATAGAGTTCCATTCTCTACTTTTAGTGTTTGATTCTTTTATGTTAGGTTAAGAGGATAGGGAAATAAAGAAAAAATAACCCAATTCTAGTTCCAGGTCAAGGTTGAACACCTGGCATTTTGTCAGTGTCTCTCAATTTCAGTTTGGGATCTGACACGAGTTTGGATGTGGTTAGATTGGATTACTCTTGTGAAAGTTTGGATGTTCTCTCTGGCGGTAGAAGATCCAATTTTTTATTTTTTTTATTAATGAATGGCATTTTATTAATTAGAGATAGAAATAGTACAAGCATGAAGCACCCTAAGGGGAGGCACAAGTTGTTACCTCCCCTTAAAGGTTGATCCAAACCCAACTCTTTTCAGATTACAGTTACAAAATAGCCAAAAATAGAGAATCCCTTGAAACCCCTTGTTTAGCTAAAGGATCTTCCAAAGCATTTGCTGATCTACTAACCCACTGAAATCTAATTGACATGGTTCTCATGCCATTTGACTTTTTTGATGATATCCCTATATCCCCAAACAACAGTTTTTGGGTCCGACATCCAATCCCACTATCACCTTGGAGTCTCCTTCAACTATCAAATTAGTCACTCCAAGTTGGTTGGAAATCTGTAGTCCTTGTACCACAGCTAATATCTCAGCCCTTGTGGAGTCTCCATAACCCACTGGACCTGAGAATAAGGACAAAATGTTGCCATATTCCTCAAGATCCCTCCTGTACCCGTCCTAGATTGCCTTGACTGCTCCCATCAAAGTTCAACTTTACAACCCCTTTCGGAGGGGGTAACCAACTTGCTTGTGTTTTATTTTTCTTGGATGAGGTGGAGGCCACTACTGCCCAACTCCTTCGAAGGTCATCACTAGAGTAATCCGCAAAGAGATTGGTGGTTTTTAGCCAAAGGATTGCCTTTGCTGGTATACAATCCTTTATTTCAGCAATGCTTCTCTCCTAGAAAATTCTAGCCATTTCTTTCCTCCCAAATGGTTCATAAGAGGGCTGCCCTAATATATTTCCACGTTACTTTCTTTCTCTTCATTGGTCAACCAAAAAAAGACGGATCAAAAAGCAGATTTACTTTAGGAGGTAAGTTCCACCTGTGCCCAAACAGCATAAAAACCCAATTCCAAATATTTACTGTAAAAGAGCAAGAAATCAGTAGGTGATAACAGCCCTTCATTCTGCACTTTACATAAGATGCACCAATTAGGGGACAAGCATGAATAAGGTCTCTTTTTTTTGTACAATGTCCACAATATTAATTTTACCATAATACACTTCCAACAAAAATCAGCAATTTTAGGTGGAATTGGCCTTGACCAAACTTCTTTAACTAGGAACAACAAAGGGGAAGGAATAGAGCATAGGGACTTAAAGAAGGAAGAACAAGAGAAGGAGCAACTCAAGGTCAAAGACCAAATTCTTCTATCTGGTTTAGGAGGATCCAAACAAACAAAATCAGGTAAAAGTAATAGCTCAAAGGCAGAAACCGATTCCTCATCCCTCAACCCTCTACGGAACCCAAAATCCCAGTTAGAGACAACAGGAGAAGGGGGGGAGAAAGAAACCTCGAAATAGACCCCTTTTTATAGAGGGAAATAGAAAAAAGGGAGGGATAGAGGTCTTTTAAGGGTTGGTTGCCCACCCAAACATCTTCCTAGAAAAGCACAGAATTATCATTGCAGACATCATACCTTACGAACTTGAAATTGCTAGCAGATTTCTATGATGCATGTATTAAATCCTAGCATCATGGGATCTCACAGCACAAGGGATAGGGGATGAGGCAGAGGCAGATCTGATAAGTTATCTTTTGATTGTCCTCCTGAATCTAGGGTGTGATTGGTGTTTTGAAGCTGTTGAGGCCTGATGTATGCTTTTGTTTTGTTAGCTTGATGGGCTGTGCTTTACAGTTTTGGGGTGTGACTGGTTGTATTTGGCTGGGCCTAATTTTGATTCTTTGTGGGATTGAGAACCCTTTTTTTTTGGATCTCTAGTTTAGAGGCATCATCTGCTTGACTTCCATTGTATACCTTTTATTCCTTTAATAATTATTACCTAACCAATTTAAAAAAACAATTTTTATATAAAAAATCATTGCTTAGGTGATACCTGGTAGGCAACAAGGGACTATTGTTGCTCAGACTTGACCTTGACAACCATGGGTGTATTAGTCATGATATGCTAAAAGGCTCATACACATGGTTTACTTGGATGACTGGTAATTGTGGTGGTGCTTATCATGATTATGTGAATATAAAAACAGTTTTGAGTTGGGATTGTGTTCATTAACATGGATTTCTGTCATTTCAAAGAATAAAATCCATCTCAAAAGCTTCAAAAAGCTTGTCAAACCTTGTGTTCTGAAATTGCAGGAAATCCAAAATTGAAATATTCCCTTGATTTAAAAGTAAAGCTTCCTCAATCTGAAAACCAATGTCCATCTTTGTGGGTCTAACTGTTGATGTTTTGCTGCTGTGATGTGGGACCTGCTTGAGAAAGAAAGGAGAATTGGTTCACCGAATCAAATTGAAGAATGCAGAGGTTTTATCTTTGCATGATATCAATTTCATAAATAACAACTTTCTGGAATTTAGCATGGGTCCTGGATTTTGTAAAATCATGCCCCAGAAAATTAGTTCAAGTTGGGGAAGATCACCTTAATGGTTGTAGGGATCAAAATTCATGCTTGGTAGATTGCCTGTGTGGCTCAGTTTGGAAGGAATACAAATGCAAGTATGTACAGTACAAATACATACAAAATACAAGGATTTGCACTCTACATATTTGTATCTGTACTCCATACAAACTGAACCTATATATTGGAATAATTTTGATGGCAGTTCTCTATTACCCCCTATGTGCAATGCTGATTGATTCCTAAACGTATATTTTTGGCTTGCAGGTGAAGCGGCTACTGGATGAAGGCATGGATGTTAATGCCCCAGCATGGGGCCACAAGTCACAAGGTTTGACTCCTCTCCACCTTGCTGCACAGGGTGGCCATCTGAAAGTCATGGATGAATTGCTTGAGCGTGGTGCTAACATCGATGCAAGAACAAAGGGCGCATGTGGCTGTAAGTATTACTTAGATGAACCTGCATTGTAGCTTTATACATCTAGGAGTGTTTGCTTGTGGTTGTGGTTCATCAGTTGAATTTGCAACTCATTGGTTCTGTGCCAGTGTTGGTGATCAAAGAAATTAATAGGGGCATCTATCACCTTCATTTGGTTATCTTTTATTTATAGGTTTCTTTGTTTGGTTCATTTGCATTGAAGCCCCCAACCAAAATAAAATCTTACTAGCCATCAGCGCTGCCGACAAAGGGAGCCTAGTTATTGGTCATATCTCCAAGATCTGAACGGTTTACACTTTACACGTGGTTGGCACAGAGGCAGTATTCAATACGAGATTCATTGAATGTAGTGGTGCACAACTTGTCTCGTTGCCCTTTTTGGGTACAGAAGAGTAAAGACATGTATCCATCTCATCATGTTTGGTTAGCTGTTTTAAAGTGGATATTGACTTTTAAGGCTAAAGACCAAAAAATATTGGATGCCCTGGGGTCGTTTTCCGGTTACTGGCCATGCTAAGCTCGTAGGGCCTCCCGGTTTGGTCTGCACGATTGTTAAGTTGAACCATCTAACTTTTGACGTAGATTGATGGTTGGTGCTCCTGTTCAAAGGAAGAACAACAATTTACCACCTGAAGACTTGGCTGTTGCATGTGCAACCGCATATGCTTGAAGGAGTCAATTAGTTTTTCCTGTGAACAACTTATTAAATTTTCATCTGAGAAAATGATTCTTTTATGCTTTTCTTTTCTGAATTAATTCTCATTTTTATTGGTGATATTAACGATATGTGCTGCCCATTTTATCAAAACCTAGGGACACCTCTGCACAGTGCAGCTAAAGAAAGGAAAAGGGAAGCAATTAGATTCCTGGTTGAGAATGGAGCATTCCTGCCACCCGACATCAATGACAACAGGTTTAATCCTCCACTTCATTACTGCCCTGGTCTTGAATGGGCCTACGAGGAGATGAAGCGCCTGCAAGAGGAAAGCCTCTCTTCCCCCGGCGAAGGTTCCTGCTGCTCCGAAAGCTAGACGCTACTTCACCAAATACAATTAGCAGTGTTGATTATCATTTGTTCTCTCTCCTATTTACAGCTTAGCTTGACTTACGGACTTCTTGTGCTTGTTTTAGCCCTGGCCTGGCTTACTGTACTTACTCTACTCTCAACTAAAAGTTTAAAGCAATTATGTGATTGTGTTACTTTACAGCTTGTTTACCCTGTCATCACCTTTCTTTGCGTGTGGACACGCTGGATTTGTAACTTTTAAGTAACCATTCAAGTGTCTTTTTCCCTGTTGGCTGCTTTGTATCATAATTTTGGGTTCTTTCAATGTCTTGATTGTTGCTACCACATTTCTCATCTCAAAAAGATATTAGCTGAAAAAAACACGCAATGACTGTTATTTCAGTGGGCTGTGAACCAATCATTCAAATGATAACCCCCACACGCCAGTTCCATAGCAACCATCGCATCCGCGTTCCATAACCCCCACACGCCAGCTCCAACGGGATGAGGTTGAATCAACCAAAAGACTAGAAAAAGTGTTTCTTTGTCTTTACGTTCAGAGTTCAATGTCAAGGAGACGAGAGACAAGTTTTTTTTTTTGGGGGGGGGGCATTTAAGGCAAGAAAAGATTTGACTGGGATGACAATGGAAATGTCATCATACGATTAACAAACTCGAATTTAAAAACAAAATCAAAAAGAAAAGTGACTTCTCGCCCGGGGAGAACATTCTGCTGTCCGCTGGTGAAGGGGGGGCTTGACTTTGAATGATTAAATGAATCAGGAATCCGGTTCCGGCCTACTAATCGTCGTCCTCGGCAAGATATGAACAGCGAGAGCGTGTAACGCTGACGGTGGATCCACAACCCACAGTCGCGGCGGCCTGGCGACTACATCCACCACGGCAATGGCACTTTGGTGTGCACGAATAGCGCAAACTCTACCCCCGCCAGCTGCAATTTGAACCGCCCCTTTTAGATGGACTGACTCAATGAGCTCCTCCCAGCAATCTCCACAAGGGTTGTATCTGCCAAGTACCCCTTTCATCTCATCAACCACATACAGCACATCTTCGTCCATCGACGCCGCCGGCCCGTTCCAGCCTACCAGCATCCCTTCCGGCATCTCCTCCCACTGGTCCTTGTCCACGTCGTAAACTGCTCCTTCTTTGAGTGCACTCCCGTTGACGTTCACCATACAAAGCTTCCCTCTCCACCCCACAGCCTCCACTGCCTCCCGACTAAACCTCCCGTGCTTGAGTGCAGCCACCTTCTCCCAATCCCAACACGAGTATGAGTATCTCGTCCTGTTCTTCAAGTCCCACCGCTCTGCAGATCGGGCCACCTCTCCATTGTAATGCGACCCTAAGCCACTCACTACATAGACTGCGCCCTCAGCAGAGCCCGTGGCGCACCAGCGGCGAGGGGTGGAGATTGTGGGGCCCAGTCTCCATCGGTTGGAGCCCGGGTCAAAGACCAGAGGGCGAGGGAGGGCTGGGAGGAGGTGGTGTGTGGTGGCTGCCAGCAGGACGAGATTGCCCGAGACAGCAACAGATTGGATGGGGAAGTTTCGGGCTATGAAGGACGGGTGGCGGAGGAGAAGCGGTAGGAGGGAGGGATCCCTTGGAGGCGGGGGGAGTCGATCCCACGTTGATGAGATGGGGTCGAACGAGAAGAATTCGATTGAATTGGATTGGTCTTGGTTAACAGAGGATTGGGTGGTGGTTGGGGTGGGTCTAGAAAGGAGAGCGTAGAGACAGAGAAATGGAGGGAAGGAAGAAGAGTAGATAAAACGTCGCCATGAGCGGCAGACGGAGTAGAGCAACGCAGGAGGAACGAGCGAGAGACAGAGCTGCGCAAGGTGGTCCGGAAGTCCTGGTATTAGAGGGTCGTAACCGGTCTGATCTTCTAGCTTCCACCGCTTTGCGGAGGCGACGGTGGTGGCGTTCGCCATGGTTGGTCACTCCGTGGCCGTGTTGTTAATAAGTCTTTCTCTGCTTCTCTTGGCCTTTCTCTCCTACTGACTGGCCTCCTTCGTGTTCTTATCTTCTTCTTGGTTTGGAAAAAAGGGCAATAGCCTTTATCTTGATGTGAATTTACGAAACTGACATTCTTTGTGAATTCACGGTTTCTTCTCTTAATATCACAAAAACACCATGTTGTCATGAAGCCAAAAAAAGAAAAAGACCATGCTGTCCTTCCGCGTTGAGAGTTGAGACCAATGGACTTCGTTTGGGGCTGGAGGAGTCTTCTTCTGTAAAAGTAGAAATGAATTGAAGTCTTGGGGCCGGGATGATATTGATGGCAATACCAGCTGGTCAGGTATGGTGTTAGATTCCAGTTTGATGGTTGATGATCTGGGTATTTCGGTAAAAACAGAAATGGAACCATCCAAAATGGATAAAGAAAATTCTTATCCAACTGCTCTGTTTCCATTCAATCAGAATCTAAATGCCATAAGCAGAGATCAGATGCCTAGTTTCAAATTTGATTCGTCAATTGTTGGATTTGAATATTGTGCATCATTAATTAATAAATCAGCTAATTAATCAGAAAATATTATATGTTGATTAACGAAATTGAAAATGATTTGATAATGTATAATGACCAAAACTGATTTCAAAATAGCTTATGAGACTTGGTTCATAAGTCTTTTTAAGTTAACATACAACACCCGAACCAACTTTAGAAATAACTTTATGAAGATATAAGCATATATCTTAGGAGTAGAAAGGATATGATCAGAAATGTAGTCATTCCTAGGAACTTAGTAAATCCTTCTTACCCCAAAAAATGGAGCAATTCTAATATGTGATAAAATAAGAGAAAGTAGACTAAGATGATTTGGTGATATGCATAGGACCGTCAATGGGCTGGGTTGATCTAATGGACTTAAACCGATTGGGTCAGTTCTGGTTTTAAAACTAGAACCGATGGGCAAGTTTCGGTTCCTCATATATTGTCTTAATTCTTATCTGTTTGGAATCGGTTTCACTCACTCCCGAACTGATTCAGACCTGACCCAAGCTATATATATATATATATATATAATTTAATATATATTATATATATAATATATTAAATAAAATAATATTATATATAATACTTTTAGGAGGTTTATTATAATTGGCTCTATTGGATTATAATGTATAATCGGTTTGATTCTGGGTCTAAAATTACACAACCTATAGGGTTTGGTTCAATTCTGATTCTAATTGGACCTGACTTAGACCCTACCTGTTGACAACCCTATGCACAGATGGCATTAATAGCACTCGTAAGAAGTGATTTGTCACAAATTGAAAGGGCTAAAAGGGTAAAGAATAGACCAAAAAAGACATGGGTAGTAGTAAAAATGATTTTAGCACCTATAATTGGTTGAATGGATATGATGATGATTAAGCATATATATTGGATCAAATTGGAATAGTTTTATATTAGATCTACTTATAAAATGTTTGAATTCAGATGGCCCTATATATCAGATCCGATTCTAATTCAATCAAATGGGTACCATTTCCAACTCAAGAGTCAAGAGGAAAAAAAGGTTAAAAACTTTGTAGCTAATGCTGCATTTGGAAACAATGCAAATATGTAGACTGTAAAATGATTCATATAAATTACAAAATTGGGCTAATTTTGCACTGACAAATTTACCTTCTTACCAAACAGACTTTTAGCTGTAATGGATGCAAACATGAATTCCAATATATATATATATATATATATCAAAAGCCCGCTTGAATGCAAATTTACTTCTTTTTTATTGATGTGCTTTTACATCTTATTGTCAATGTAAATATGCATTGGTCTGTCATTTGTCAATACATAAATGTAATGTTGCCAAATACAAGCAAAAATGAACTAGAGTGTAAATTTACCCTGAATTAGAATTTATACTCTATTTGTATTGTTTTCAGACGCAGCCTAAGGTTATATTTGATACCATTGCTATTTATACCTGAAATGCTTTAGATTGATCAATACAAATTAGCATACAACTATTATTTGAGGTTGTTTATAGTTGAAGAGGCATACCTTCAAAATGTATGTGCAGGTTGTTGTCTATGAAAATGCCAAATTGACGTTTCTTTCTCCAGGGGATGAAGTATAACCATTCTAGCTAAAGTGACACTCATGTATGATGTGACTAAACGAATTAGAGTTCGAATGAGATAAAATAACTCAACTCTTGTTATTGTTATGTGTTATGTATATATTAAGATGAGTACAAGATAGAATGTGGAAGTTGTACACGTTTGAATTCAAAATTATGTTACAACAACTAAAAGAATTATCCTATCAACCCATTGTACACATATGCATAGCTCATGGAATGTGGAGATAAGTCGTTATCTCCTAAAAAGTGACAACACATATCTCTCACCAATTTGTATTGATCAATCCAAAATGTTTCAGGTAGAAAGGACAATGATGCGAAATACAACCTAAATTATGAGGGATTTTCAAAAGCATAGTTTAAGGAAGGGCATTTTACATCTATATGCCCTTCTTTGTGCTAATTCCCTTGTGTTTCTTGCTTTGTATCTCTTTGTAGCGAGTACTTTTGCCATAAAAGTATGAAAAATAAACCCTTGTTTTCATTGTTTCAGGCAAAAATGTTATCTCTCACATTTGTATTAATCTTCCCCAAATGAACACTTATTTGGCAATTAAGATAAATGGATCAGAGATCCAACAAAAAGAGAATAAAAACTTGTCCAATTGTAATATAGATAAAGTCTTTCTCTTTTCTTATACAAATCCGTTCTTAAACCCTTAAAACATAGTTAAAGTTCTATCAATTGACTTCTAAGCTATTGTTTTAAGTCAAAAAGAGTTGCATACAATTTATATGGCAGTAATAGTCTTGAAATTAACTAGAGCTGCCAATGGAATATGGTTTGAAACAGGGTAGACCAGTGCTGAACCAATTACTAATTAGTTATATCAAATAGACCTATAATCAAACCACTCATTAATTAGGATAATTGGGTCTGACCTGATTAATATTGAGATCTATAATTTACCTATCATAGAAACAACTTGGATTTTCTTTTTTGATAATATAACCTTAATAAAAAGAGTAAATCCTTTAAACCTATCCTAGGTTTTCTAAAAAGGTCTTAAACCTTTCAACTTTGCCCTTAAAAATCCCCTTGGCCTTTGGGGATAAAGGGACTTATGCACCCCTTCCGTTATTTTATCTTTAGAAATCTAATAGCAACTGTTGATGTCATGGATTTAAACATATTATAATGCCAATTTTTCCTTATTGTAAAATCATTAAATGGTTGATGACTGAAATACCCTTAAATCTCTCTTTACCAAAAAATGGGTTTGTTTATGCAATAAAAAATAAAAATGAAATACTAAAATACATTTACTCATATTAACAATGTAAGGGTAAAGCAAGGTTCAAAATATCGATACAAGGCGATACACTGGTAGGGCGTATCGGCCTGTATTGGTATTGGTTTTTTTTTTTTTTTCTAATTTTTTTCGAATCTAGTTCAGATGGACCCATTTACCTCCTAAACCACTCACCAACCCGAAACACCCTTTGTAGGGGTGTATCAGGAAGGCTCCGATATAATACATATCGGTCGATACGAGCCAATACATGACAAAATTTTGAATATTGGGATAAAGTTTGAATTGGAAAAAACCTACTAACTTGATAAGAGGAATTAACATGGTATAATAGACATTTAATTTCTTTGTCCACTTAAAAGTAATGAAAGGGATCCTTAAATTCCTTTATCTAGGGTGGAAACGAATCAAGTCTTTCATGAGGTATTTGGGCTCAGCTTATGACTCAATTTGATTCAATTTAAATTGAGCTTTGAATTGAACTCAACCCTAATATAACTTGGCTCGTAAGGCTTGCAAACCTAATCGAGCACATATATATAATAAAATAATTTTGTAATTTTATAAAAGGCTTGACTCGTTCGAATTCAAAAATTTCTAACGAACCGAGCTCGAACAATTCAACTCGACTCAAATCCAAATAGGAAGAAGAATTTTTAATCAAAATCATCTTTTATAATGTCTGTGAAATATATACTGTCTAAGCTAACAGGGAGAGGAATACCGTTTTACAGTCCGAATAATCATAGTGTACAATTTACAAAGAAGGGCCGTGGGGATAATATTGTCATTGCAGTGAAAAACTTAGGGCTGCTAGTGCCACAAATGTGCTATTTTAAGCTGAAAGGCAGCATTACACGTGTCATATATAGAAATCCCGAGAAATGGCAATTCCGTAAATTTGACTTGAAAAAGGGAAAATTATGAAACTTCCGAGACTTCAATAAGGCCCATACGAGAGAGAGAGAGAGAATATAAATCCATAAATGAGAAAAGGCAAGACTGTAACAGCAGATATTGAGTGGTTCATAAAAGCAGCCTTCATCGGGACGCATTCAGCATACTTCCCTCATTCCCCCAACCGAACGCTTTGAAAAATAAAAGGTATCAAGAATATCCTTTCCCGGTTTCTCTTTTCATTTTCTCGTATTCTTTCCTTGACTTTTTGCTTTCATTTCTACCTTTTCCTCTTGTCAATTTTCTTTGTTTTTTATGTAAGAAGATTGATCCTTTTTATCACTGTTTTCAAAATCGGATCAGATCGGACGGTCGGACCGAAAAACGTGAACCGGTCACGATTCTGTTTTCTTCTAAAAGCATTGATTTTGGTCAGCAAACTGCTGAATTGACCGGTTAACCATTTGAACCGTTTTCCAATTTTTTAATTTTTTTTTTGTCAAAACAGGCCGGCTGTTCAGGTCGAACAGTCAGACCATTCGAACCAGTAACCGGACCTCTAACCGGTTCAATCACCGGTTCGTTTTCAAAAACCATGCTTTTTATTAAAACTTAGACTCCGTTTGGTTCACAAGAATAGGGGTTTGGAATCAAAATTGGAATAGATTATTCCAATTCCAACTATTTGATTGGACGGAATTAGAATCCCATTTTCATTTCTGCTGAAATGACATTCCCCCATTTAATGGAATGGCCATTCCCTACCCCTTTCTAGAGAATGAAAATTTCAATTCCCATTTTCATTCATGTCTGAATCAAATAAACTATGAAAATAGATCATTCTGATTTCGATTCTGATTCCAAAAGATTTTGATTTCGATTCCTATTGCAAACCAAATAAACCCTTACATTGTTTTCACAGTTACTGCTTAAAAGAAAACCTTATCCCATTTTAGAACTACCAAATTAATTGTGTTAGAAAAGATTCATGTAAATGAAAGATATAATAGGATACAAATGGGTTGAAAGTTACATAAAGCAAATCTTCACTTTTTGAAATCCTTATCCTACAAATCAATAATGGTTGATAGATAGATGATGATTAAACAGTGTTTTCGACCCACTGTTGAC